TTTTACCCTTTTGCCCTTTTTTAAAATTGTTTTGTTAAAAACTAGTTTAGCTTAATTTGTAATGGCTAAGTTTTACTCCGAACAACTTTCAATTATTTTCAAATTGAAAAATTTTGGATTATTTTACAAAAAAATTTCAGTTTATTAAAATATTTTTTAAAAAAATAAGAAAAATACAATCATCGATCCCTATAATTTCATCAAGTTTTGTTTTTAGTTCCTATATTTTTTTTCTGATGTTTTCAATCCATATAGTTTTAAAAAAATTGGGTGATGTTTGTTTTCAGATCCCCATAGTTTCAATACTAAAAATACTTGTAAAAAATTATAAGGATTAAAAAAAAAATTCGATGAAATTATAAGAATCAAAGATTATATTTTTTTAAAAAAATATATCCAGTAATGATTTTTACCACACGTTAACCAGCTTTTACTAAACTAATTTTTATAAAGGAATTTTTTTGGTGCAGATTTTATAAATGAATTTTTGAAAAAGGAAGTTTTGGCCAATGTAAAAACTAAACATACACAGTCATAAAAAAAAGTCACTGGCTTGCATCTTCATGAGGAACCTCTGACATGGTGCTCCGCAGATGTGAAACAGGTTTAGTTTGCGAAATTATATTCTTTTATACAGGTTAAAGGGTGAATTTGTCTTGAAATTTTTTTTGCTAGATGTAATTGAATCCTTAAATTTTGACTGGAGTAATGTTGTTTTAAAAGTTCAAAATATGATGCAATATCATTCTACAATAATGTTTGAGTAATGCTGATTATTATTTCAAGGAACAAAAATTATAATGAAGGACTTAAAAAAAATATTTATTAAAGATGATCTTAAAAATAGCTATTATTTAAAAGGATTAAACACGAAAATATAATTTTGAAAACATTATATTACCCTTAATCATGTCTCCTAAAATTTTCTAACCACATCTGGCTCGCCGTATTTGACAGTTATTAAAAAAAAAAAACACACACACACAAATTCGAGAGAAAGCTGTACTTTTATATAGCAAAGAGACGGAAAAAAAAAATGAAAAAAAGAAGAAGGAGAAGCTAATTTAGTGTCCAGGAACTACAAACAAATTAATAGTCTTATCTCTCTTAAAAATTCACGACTCTAGAGATTGACATAGCATGCGTTTTTGGCAAAATTGAATAATTCTTTAAAAAGTAAATATTTTTAAAATTATATTGATTTAATTTTTATAAGTAAATATTTTTAAAAAATTAGATTGATTCAATTATTTAAAAGTAAATATTTTTAAAATTATATTGTTTTAATTAAATTTAATACTTCTTTTTATTTTTGAGTGTGGAGTATGAAATTGAAAACTGCACAGCTTTATTTTTTAAAAGAATATTTTGTAACTTGAACAGTATCCTATGTAAATTTTAAGGTGGACAAATTTTGTACTAAGGTTATAGTAGTCAAGTACATATACCTTGGTTCATCATCCTAATATTAACTTTTATGATATTTTATAATAAATTTTAGCAGTATTAGATCCCTCTTCCTAATTTTTCCCATTTTAAGTATTAAATGGCAATTTCGCTTCCAAAGCTTGTCTTAAAAAAAGAGTAATTGCTATTGTAAATTTTTTCTTGGCGCAATATTTTTGGGTATCAACTTTTAAGTAAAAAAAAGAATTCAACATAACTCTTCATAACTCAAAATTAGAAGAAAATAAAGATTGAATTACATTGAATACCTTCAAATCAAAATATAAGCTAATCTGTGTCGCTCATGTGCAAGTATGAAAAAGGAATGTATTTAAGCTTGTACAAGAACTATTCATGGATATAAAAAGGGCAAGTCTAAACTTCAAAATAAAGTCTATGAAGTGCTCAAAGTATAGTTCATTTTGCCTTGAAGCAATATCTATTTTTAAAATCTAAAAACATGAACCATTTTTAATAATGATAATGGATTGTTAGATTTTTTTTATTTGAACATTATTAATAATAAAAAACACTGTACTAAATTGAAATTCTATGATACAATTTTTCCTCTAAAAAAACTGTTACGGCAAAATTATTCTTTACCTCCATTCAAAATTTTCAATTAGCAGTTAATGTTAGTCAAACATTACTACAAAATTGTATCATTTTTTATATTTTTAGAATAATATTACCCAACACTAATTAAAAGTTAAGGATGATAGTTGCTCCTTGCAAAAAACTTAATAACGGAATAAATTTCCCTGTTAACACTTCTTTTATTTCTATGTATAGATATATAAATTTCATATGTAACGGCAAAAAGGTTTGGTTCTGTTCTCTAAACAAAAAATAATTCAATGCGGCCGGACTAACATAATTTCAATGTAACCATTCTGAGCCCAGAATAGACGAGCAGGAGCAGCACAAGGTTAGGTTAAGATTTAAGTGGAACGAATGTCTAACCTGATCCACTTGTTTTCTAAGCAAACATGTTTACTTTCTTTTGGTTTTTGAGAACTTTTAGATACCAAAAATTGGATGGGCCGCATAACCCCCCGTCAAAAAAAATTAAAAAAGAAAAGAAAAGTTATGATAGATTATGGTAGTAATGATTTTTGAAATAATATTGTTGATGTCCTTGGCACGCTTCTAATTAAAGTAACATCATCAATATGTGTCTGAAATGTACATAGAAAAGTAAATTTATGTATATATCACGCCATTCCATTCGAAATGCATGCGCAGAGGCACCATTTTGTAAATAAATTTTTTACATTTCAAAAACACTTTCTCACTTTTAAAATGTTAAAAGGTATTTGAAATAATTTTTTGGGAGTGAAAGAATTTTAAAAAGGGACTTTTCAAATGGGCTCGAATGAAAAAAATTCAAAATCCATCCAGTAACTTTTAAAAAATGACATATTATTTGGTCATACTACTTTAAATTTAATCTTTTATTTTTTATTTAAAAAATAATTAATTTATTAAAAATATAATTATCATTTAAATAATAATAACTAGACATCAGGTTTTCAATATTACAAATTGAATAATTAATTACATTATTTTTTAGTATTAATGTATAATAAAAATTATAAATTTTTATCACATTTTTTAAAATTACAAGTTAAAAAAGTACAAATAATTAGAAATCAAGTTTTTAGTATTATAGATCAAATTTTATGTTATTTAAAATCTTTATCATATTTTTTAAATATATTATATTTGTATAATAAAAATTATAAATCATCATAAATTAATGTCCTTTTTTATAACTGTACGTTTAAAAGCATGTTTTACTATCATAATCCAAACAATTTTTAATTTATTAAATTAATTTTTGAAAAAAATATAAACATAAATTTCATTACAGCAGTTGATTTTCATTGAACTAATTTTTATCAAATTAATTTTTAACAAATTAAAAACTAAATACATACAAAATTATCCTTCCTTGAAGGAAAAATCATACACTTCACAAATTACTTGTATTTCTCACTAAAACAACAACTTTAAATGCATAATTTCAACATTGATTCAACTAACCACCCAAAAAGGGGAAATCAACTAACAATAATCAATGTAAAATATACATAAAAAATAGAAAAGGCTTACAACTTTCTTATCATTTTTATTTTTTAACTGTATATCTTATTTTTAATATCAATATAAAATGTAAAATCACATTATCTTTATTATGCAATCAGCAATTATTCCCAGGCTCCATTCAATTTTACTTTTTTAAGGATTTAACAAATATAACCTACGTTATAAGATCAAACTAAGTAAATAACTTACTAATTATTATATTTTATATTATAATCAGTTTATTATATTTGTTAATAATATATCATTGTACATCAATAATAAACTCCTTTCAAATTTTTAAAATTTTAATAATAAATTTTTTATATATTAATGATAAATCTTCTATATATTAATGTGAATTGACCATACTCCTAAATTTTTAAATATTTGGTTTACATTTTTTGGATGCAAAATTTTTTTCAACCAGTCAGCTAATTTATCTTATTTTTTATTATTTCAATATCATTTCACACGTTTTGCTGGGCCTTGTGACACATGAAAAAGAGATATCTGCTTCTTGTATAAACATTAGATTCAAGTCACAATATTCATGAACCGTAAATCTTATCATTATTTTTTCGATCAGGTAAAAAAAATCATTATTTTTTCGAATTTGACGTAATACGAAAAAGCTCAAACAATACGAAAATTGTAAAAAATTGTCATTGACGAGTCATGAATATGAGATGGTTTATACTTCATTTACATTGACATGGATAATTATATATATATATATATATATATCTATATATCTATATATAAAGTGATGAATGAAAACAGACACTGATTTTAACGCTGATATAAATTTTAGGAAAATTAATCTTTTAATTTTTAATTTATTTGTCATTCAATTTTTCAATTATAACTTATTGTGACTTAATCATTCAGCTATAACTTGCTTATAATTTAATTTTTTTAATTTTTAACTCATTTATAATGCAGTCTTTTAACTTTTATTAGTTATTTTTTTTCATATTAACTTAGATTTTACATCAAAAAGTAAGAGCAGAGTGTTTTAGAGTAATATATAAAATTTTCTTAGTCTACTTATTTAATAAGGATAACTTTTTTTTAAAAAAATAAAAATAAAAATCAAGTTATAAGCGAGTTAAAAATTAAGAAATTAAGTTGTAATAAATTAAGTTAAAGGATTGAATTGCAGTAAATTATAATTAAAAAATTAAATTATAAGTGAATGAAAAATTAATAGATTAAAATATTAATTTTTTTAAAATTTTAATTTAAACAACAGACCCACATGTGAGGCTCGCTGTAAAGCTAATATGATAAATTAACCGGAGAGTTATGAAGGCGGTAGTTTTTTTCCCCCCATGAAGCCTAAGTCGCGTTCGGGTTAGAAGGCGAAAAAAAGAAAAAGAAATAGGGCAAAACAGTAATTACCGAAAACCGGAAAAAGGAGAGGCCGATCTCCTTTGACCTAAATACCCTCTTTTTCTTCTCAGCCCCGATTCTGTGTGGCGGTATTTCCATTGTCAACCCTCACAGTTGCTCCCTCTTCTGCCCTTCTAATTCCCAATCTTCCTCTCCTCTCCTTACCCTTCTTCCCCTAATTCCGATTTTCTCCAATTCCCCGCCATTTTTCATCAACTTCTTTTCAAATTCTCCTCCTCCTTCTGCCTCCTTCCCCTCCGATCACAAAAACCCTTGCCCTTTGTTCGATCTACATCTAAATGCTTCTGCCCTTTGATTTTGCAAGTTCCGACCATTACCCAGTTCCCGTCTTTATATTTCTGATCCCAGCACTCTAGTACGATACTCTTTTTGGGCTTGGTCTGGCACCGGCGATAGGATTCTGCTTCCAATTCTTCCAGTTGAGATTTCTCAGGTGATTTTTACTAGACTTTTTTTTTTTTGGAAAAATATTATCTTGTTATTATGATTTTTTGCTCCTGCATACTCTACATGTTCACGGAGTTGAATAATCACTCCAATTCGGCTTTGATTGGAGTTCTTTAATGAAAGATTGTTCTTTTTGTTAGTTTCTCTTTCCTTGGTAGGGCTGTACGTTCTAATCTCTCAGGTTGGTCGGGTTTCGGTTCGTGGTTACTCCCTGGCTAGGTTGAAGAGGGTTTCTTTTGTGGGTTGGGCTACAATTTATTAGATTTTGAAACTTGACGGAAGTGGTGTTCTTGTTTTCTCTTATGACTTGTGTGTTGTCCCACTAGTGTTTATTAGATTATCAAGTTAAGCTCAGTGCATGCTTCTGGATTTCAAACGTGATTTTGATTTCTCGTGCCTGTTATTTCTTCCCTGCAAACAAAGGCTGATAATTTAGACCGGAATTTATTTTTGTGCCTTGAATTTTTTTCCCCCGGTCATGGTCATAAATTAATGGCAATCAAAGTGGAATGCTGGGGGACATTGGTTCTACATTACATTGAACTATGCAATTGCAATCAACAGAACACTGGACCTGCAATCTGAAGTAGTTATGATAGTCTTGGAATTCAACATGCATACTTGACATGCTCTAGTTGTACAAAACCGTCACTACATATATTATTAAGGGAGCTTTTTGTAATTAAAGGAAGGAAAACGATAAACTGCAGAGAAATAATTATCCTGTTTGGCGTTTCTTTTTCTCAAGGGGCTGTTGTGCTGCCTTTCTTTTCTTTTCTTTTCTTTCCTGTTTAACTTAACGGGGACATGTACAGTGTATGACAAACGGTGAGCAGAACAAAGTGTCAATATCATTTTATTTCGCTTGACTAATGAATTTCAGGGGTCCTTGCTGCAGGTGTTCCAAGCACTAAGCAGGTTTTTGACTAGTAAACTGAGCGGTAGTTGCTGTCGGTACATCCACTTGATGTCTTCAATGGCTAACCATGATTTGATACTTGGTCAGAGTCACAATTTAGCCCTTGGCCATGATCAGCAATTGGTGATGAGCCATAACCATAATTTGGACCTTAGCCAAAACCATGATTTGGGTCTGGGACAAACCCATGAGCATCATTTGGGTCTGGGACAAGCCCACGATCACGAGCTTGGCTTGGGGCATCCCCATGAACATGAATTGGGTTTGGGACAGGACCATGATCAAGAAGGTGGTGATGATCACAACTATGGGCACGAGAATGAGTTATCCATGGATCGAAAGCCCGAACATGATGACCATGAGCTAGCTCTATCAGAGAACAACGAGTTGACTGTTTCAGAGAACCAAGAACTCGACGAAAATCTGGAACTCGCTATTGTCCAGAACCCAGAAATGGGGATTGATTCTACCCAAGATATGAGTGTTCAGCAGTCCCACTCCCAACTAGTTGTTGCTACCACACCACCCATAATTCAGGCTCGCACAGTTGCTGTAAGTCCTAATTATGAATTAGCAGTGGGGCAAGAATTTCCTGATGTAAAGAGTTGCCGGAGGGCACTGAGGGATACAGCTATTGCTCTACACTTCGAGATGCAGACTATAAAATCTGACAAGACACGCTTCACTGCTAAATGTGCAAGTGAAGGATGTCCCTGGCGCATTCACGCAGCAAAGCTCCCCGGAGTTCCAACTTTTACTATTAGGACAATTCATGAGAATCATACATGCGGAGGAATTCATCATCTTGGTCATCAGCAGGCGTCTGTTCAATGGGTTGCGAACTCTGTGGAGCAAAGGCTGAGAGAGAACCCTAATTGCAAGCCAAAGGAGATACTAGAAGAGATTCACCGGGTTCATGGCATCACTTTATCATACAAGCAAGCATGGAGAGGCAAGGAGCGCATCATGGCTGCCATGCGCGGATCATTTGAAGAGGGATACCGCTTGCTCCCGCAATACTGTGAACAATTGAAACGAACAAACCCGGGCAGTATAGCATCTGTTTACGGAAACCCAACCGATAACTGCTTCCAACGCCTCTTCATATCTTTTCAAGCATCGATATATGGTTTTCTAAATGCTTGCAGACCACTCTTGGGGCTTGATAGAACCTATTTGAAGAGCAAGTATCTTGGTACTTTACTTCTTGCGACAGGATTTGACGGTGATGGGGCTCTGTTTCCTCTGGCATTTGGTGTTGTTGATGAGGAGAATGATGATAACTGGATGTGGTTCCTGTCTGAACTTCATAATCTGCTCGAGATTAACACAGAAAACATGCCGAGGCTTACAATTTTGTCTGACAGGCAGAAAGGAATTGTGGACGGAGTGGAAGCAAATTTTCCTACTGCTTTCCATGGATTTTGCATGCGTCACTTGAGCGACAGCTTCCGCAAAGAGTTCAATAACACAATGCTTGTTAATCTTCTATGGGAAGCAGCACATGCTCTCACTGTTATTGAATTTGAAGCAAAAGTTCTAGAGATTGAAGAGATATCACAGGATGCTGCATACTGGATTCGAAGAATTCCTCCTCGTTTATGGGCGACTGCTTATTTTGAGGGGCAGAGGTTCGGTCACTTGACAGCAAACATAGTGGAGTCTTTAAATAATTGGATACTGGAAGCGTCCGGGCTTCCCATAATTCAAATGATGGAATGCATCAGAAGGCAGCTGATGACTTGGTTTAACGAGCGCCGGGAGACGAGCATGCAGTGGACATCCATACTGGTTCCGTCTGCCGAGAGACGGGTGGCGGAGGCGCTGGAGCGCGCGCGCACCTATCAGGTGCTTCGCGCTAATGAAGCAGAATTTGAAGTGATATCCCACGAAGGCACAAACATCGTGGATATTCGGAACCGGTGCTGTCTGTGTCGTGGGTGGCAGCTCTATGGGCTGCCATGTGCGCACGCGGTGGCGGCGCTTCTGTCATGCAGGCAGAATGTGCACAGATTCACCGAAAGCTGTTTCACTGTGGCAACTTACAGGAAGACTTACTCTCAGACCATACATCCCATTCCCGATAAATCGTTGTGGAAAGAGTTGTCGGATGCCGATCCCAGTGCGAGCCAGGCTGCTGAAATCATTATAAACCCACCCAAATCACTTCGCCCTCCTGGACGACCGAGGAAGAAGCGAGTTCGGGCCGAGGACCGCGGCCGGGTAAAGCGGGTCGTGCATTGTAGTCGTTGCAATCAGACTGGCCACTTCAGAACCACTTGTGCAGCTCCCAACTAACGTTGGCGGTCTGCTTAACCCCAAGTGAAGTCATTACTGTTCTTGTTACTATTATTTATTAGTCTCTCATAGTTAAAGACTGTCCATCAATTAAATGTGAATGAATTTGAGGTAGTTGCTTTATTGTGAATAATAGTATACTCTCAAATCATTACTGCCGTTTATCTCTGCTTCATTCCATATTCTTTGGTCCAGGTTCCGTATCTATGTTCGGGTGTTGCCTGACAAGGTCGACTTCCATTCTTCTGGTTCGGGCTAATAGCCCTTGCTTAGAAGTTAAGAAATTTTACTAAACTGTTTAAAAAATTTGTAGAAAGGCAAAAGGCCTTAAGAAGATGCTAGTAGACATCTAAGCTCGATCAACACGATTACGGTCGTTATACGAATCATGTTCTGTTAGATTTTTGCACACGGCTCGCGGCACTCTCGTCTTAGTTTTCATTTCGCGGGTTTTGCCCACAATCATGAAGATTTAGTGTCCTCCCCCCCGGGGGGGGGGGGTGGTTCAGTGAAAAATATTCGTTGGCTATTGCAAAAGATTCGGCAATAAAACACTAGGGAACTCTTCACTCCGTGGGCATGCATTGCACCGATGTTTTGTGTCATTGAATCACTAATTACTTTCGAACCATTTACCCTCCATTAACAAAAATTTAAAATTACGATGTCAAGTTTCTAGAATTGCTGCAAAAGCCGAGAAGATAAGATGCATCAACCACTCTAGATTCTTGGAATTCGTGACTACAGCTGGAAGCGAGGTATATTAGTCTGGTAAACGTTCTTCAGACCGCAAATACGAACAGACACAAATCGTTTAATGGCGTACAAAAAATTTAAATTATTAAAAGAATACATCAATCCCACGGTTCCTGCCATTTCGGGTGTGGCTAATGGCAGATTGCACCGCCCAGCTTAGAACCCATAGTTTGTGCCATACGCTGAGCCATAGCCTCCGGCATGTCCTGGGTTAGAAGCATGAGCCGAGGCCGGAGGAGCGGCGGGGTAAGAATTGAAAGCTTGGTCAGTACCAGACCCGCTAGCCTGTGGCTGCGATGGCCCAGCTTCAGCCATAAAGTTCTGCACAACAAAGTTCAGAATGCAAGCTAATCGTGTGATAAAAATCAGTCCCAACACTGGCATCACCGAGATGAATAATGCACAAAAAAAATATTCATGCATGGAAATCATAGGGACCAGGGCAATAAGCACGAAGAGAAAAATAGGAAATAACGCGATTTGCCTACAAATTTAACGGAAAATATTCTAATATTTAAACTTGATCCTCATTTTCACTTCTCCCATGTTCCCCGTGACTTCCCAACTCTCATTCTTCCTACATAGCCCTTAACTATCATCCATTCCAACAAAGTATTCATAACAAAGACATACTCCCACCTTTTCCAGGGATGGTGGAAAATGCACATGTTATTGGCACGTAATTTAAATTGTTCCAAAGTTTTACTTGCTCCAAACTCAAGACAAAGTTTGTGTTTCAACAAAGAAAATAGGATAAACATAACTTTTGATCCTTGTACGTTGCTTGCGTTTTGCTTTTGACCTTTATATTTTTTTTTCCAGTGTTTTAAGTCCTTACGCTTTCGTTTTCCATCATTTTGGGTCATTCTAAAATCCATATACTTTGCTCATAGAGGGACAAAAAATAATAAAAAATAAAAGTGTAAAGATCTAAAACATAAAAAAAAAAGAGTATAGGGACCCAAAAGCAAAACACGAGTAAAATACAGAGATTAAAAGTTATGTTTATCTAAAAAAATATGAATATATGCATCTTTGAGCAAAAAGGATTGGTTAGGTTCTCGATTAAACACTGCAAAAGGTTTTTACGAGATATGATGAATGACAAACATTAAGGATAGAATTAAGATTACCTGTATCAATTGCTGAGCAGTTTGGACTTGAGAAGCTGCTCCACTGATTTCAACAGTCATCTCCCCCGGAACACCCCTTGTTTCTTGTATAGTAACAGTAGCCCCACTAATTCGACGGATGTAGCTTATACTTGCCCCAGCAGTTCCAATAACAGCATCAGCATAAGACAGAGGAATTTGCATTTGCTGGGTGATCTGATAAAACAATGAGTCGAGCGACTTATTGCAGTGTGCATAAACGAAGGGCAAGCACTCAGATCGGTTCTCTAATCTTAAGTATCAACACAAGCTGCTTAGTAATCATGGACGGTATGCATAATTTGCATTTCAAAGCAAGTTTTTATAGTTAATTCGATGCACCAGCCCTGTCTCCCATCAGCGCACATTACTTCACACAATAAACCTCGAGATACAAATATATAAACTAAGCATTCAAAGCGTTTGGGAGGATAATTTCATGGGTGGCCGACTAGTTTCCTAAGAGTAATAGTGGAAAACCCGAAAGAAACAAAGTACCTGCGTGACCATGGAAGGTGCAGATTGGGTGTTTGAAGATGAATGGACACCTATAGTAGCATCTCTTCCATAGGCAGATATACCATGATGAGACTGTTTGTCCACTGAAGGCGGCAATTCAGCCGGCGAATAATAATTATCAAGTTGTCTTGGAGGTGGCATGTATTGATGCGTAGGTCCGAAACCAGGACCTCCACTAACATTTGGAGGTGGAGCCCATGATTGGTGAGGTGGCAGGTGCTCTGCAGGATGAGGATTTGCCATTTGCATCTGGAAAAAGAATAAACAAGTATCGTTTCTCATTTCTATTGTTTGAGATAAACCCTTCACAAATTTTAGATTTCATCACATACGTTCGTTTCAAATATTGGAATTACACTGCGGTCAACAAGAAACTTCCTCAGACGGGAGGCAATTAGCTCTACCGCTTTAAGCACCCCAGTGGGATCCCCCACTACTTCAACAACCCTATCATCTTGAAGAGCAAACAGAGGCAGGTCCTCTGCAGAAGATCTCAACGAATCAATGCGTAGCAAAATGCCAAAAATACCAAGAATCTGGGGACTGTTGAAATTTCCACTACTATTATTTTATTTTACAAAAAGTTCAGAAAACTAAACTAAGTAACTGCTGCACAGGAATTAAAAAGATTGAGGGCTATCCTCAGAATCATATCCCCGATTCTTTAATAGGGATGAAGGATGGATCCAAATGCCGCCAGAGTTCAGAGTTGTTTGGATTGTGACGATTTAGACTAGGACGTCAAAAGTAAACTCACGGTTGTTTTCCTAACAGATATAGCAGCGGTAGCAATTAGCAAATGCAATGACACTTCCAGTGGAAAGAGAGAAAAGTCAGCAACATGATTAATAAGGTGACTAACTAGGTTCTGTCTCAAGTGTTCCTATTGATGGCAGACGTTGACAAGAGCTCTAGTACCACTATCTCATCCTATGCTCAAAACTAGATTAGCAATTTTTTTTTTTAAATAAACACCACCGTGAAGAACATGGAATTATACAATTCTAGAATATGGATTAGGCAAAACATATAGCACTTGCACTGAACCAAAAAGAAAAAAAAAAATCTTATAAGTAAACCAAAAGAACCTGTTCCAAGAACTCTAACAATACAATTGGATGCTTCTTGGATAGATTTAACTGTTCCTCCTTGTTTCCCAATTAAACTTCCGGCTTGAGATGCTGATACTAGTAGCCTTGTTGAGACCTTCTCACCAACACCTAAAGGAGCATGGGAAGAATCAGTCTCTAAGCCATCAATAATCCGTTTATGAACTCTCAATAAACCATCCACGGCAGGAGGAAGAGATGAATCAGGTTCCTCTCTAGCAGAAACCATTACCTAATCAAGAACAATAGAGTAATTTCAGACTATTCTTCTCATAATAATTCTCCTCAACATCCATAGTTGCCAATGAATCGCAAATAAAACAAAATAGCATGGACAAACAAAATTTTCTGCTTTAATCCATATTAACAAGCCAGCCAACGACAGCACTATTTACCGAACGCATTGTATTCCGCCTACAATCTCTGCAAGGAATTCAACCAATTCTCATTCACTGACAGGTGTTGCAGTTTTTAGAGTCAACAAATGACAATAAAACAGTTTATATCATCTCAGCAGTTCAACACTTCTTAAAAGATTTGCAACTCACAATTAAGCTTTTTAGTCTTCAAACTTATTCATTATAAACGCCTTTTAATAAAAGAAATAACAAAAAAACATTTTAAACACTATTCATGGTATTTTGAAACATTTGTTCAGATCAAATCCAAGATTTTATATAACTTACACACAAATTTTGATTCTTGCGAATGCAATTTACGATTTTTTTTTTAATATATAAGATTGTTATTTTAATGCATGAGCTGCTAGATTATATGCTAGTTTTAACTAGCATAAGTATCAAATTGAAGAGTATTTAGCGAAAGACAATAATTTCTTCCACCGTCTGATCCCTATTATTCTCAATTAAATGCTTACAACACAAGGCAGTCCAATCATATCTCCACCTCTCAACATATTTAACGAAATGAATGATCAACTGAGACCAGCACTGAAACAGTTGTAATGCTCACTAAATTCAAGAACTCAATACCTACACACATCAATTTCCCTCCATATCAGTATATATAACTGAAATATATAACTACTTTTGGTTTAGTCTTCTTTTTTATCCAAAAAAAAAGAGCTACTTTTGGTTTAAGTACCAATGGTAGCAACACATTGCTCTACATGGGCATCATGGCGTTGCACAGTTTGGCCTCCAGCTAGTTGGAAGCAGGGTGCATCTTACTCGAGGAGCAAATCCTTATGCATATGAAAAGCCAACAGGAAAAATATCTATGTAATGCTTTCTCAGCCTGCCACTAACACGTACAATCTCTCCAAATACTCCATAAGTTTTCAGAAATATCCCTTACTAATAGCATTTCAGCTACTCAAGAGTCTAAACATTTCCTTGGTCCTAGATTCTTTCCCACTTATTTTTCCTTACCTTGAAAAAATGCATCTCCTCGTGGATGTAATCATTCCAGCAGGTCAATAATTCATTAAATGACATAACTGATGGAACAGTGAAACTGTCTTCTCATTTACACAAAGAAGCTCCCCATATGCTGAAAATAAAACTAATCAAGAGAATTTAGTAGCTTTTAAATCCTTTTTCTCATAGTAACATATAGACAAATGAAGAACACTAGGTATTTATATTTGATGGTTTCACTATTGTGCATAAGTTTCTTTTCATTACTTGCATTCTGTGGCAAGGCATCAATCATCCAGGTTCTGAATTTACCAGATCGAATGCAGAACTTCATGATACTTTGGTACAAAATATCTACATTTTCATAAACTTTTCAGCACTTTGAAATGGTCATGCTGATCCCTGCATCTGGATCTTTGGTTCTTCAAGATTGGGATCTTATTGATCATTGAGTTGTTGCCTTAAAATTGGTCCACAGAACCTGCACAGATTCATTTTGTTAGAATTAATTAATCTTTTAAGGATTTTTTTTCTGTTACTCTTCTTTTCTTTCCTTTCCTTTCCTTTGTTTTTTTCTTTTTTGATAAGTTGGAATCAAACACATCTTTCTGGATCTCCTTCCTCATCTTCATCTTACTTTGGTCACTGAGAATGAACAAGTTCATCCTTTAAATTATGAGCCCTCCGTACATCATTGTTCTCAATTGTTTAATAGTCGAAATAAACTTCTAATTACGATATAGGGCACAGTGAAACATCATGATTGGCTACTAAAGGAAAGACAGCCACCATCTATTCTCCTCCTTGACATCTTTGTCAGGTACATACAAATACTGGATATTTACTATTGCCATGAACGACAGCCACCATCTATTCTCCTCCTTGACATCTTTGTCAGGTACATACAAATACTGGATGTTTACTATTGCCATGAACTATTCCCGAATGTTAAGAATGTATTTCAATTCGTCAACAGGGCCTCATCCCTGATACTTTTGGCTCTTTTCCAAATTTTCTAATCTAACTTCACCAGCAGTTTCAAAGCACAAACCAAATAGAAAAATACAATACCTAAATTAGTTACATATATAACATTATCTTTAAAACGGAGATACACTTCATGGCCATAGTCGGTTTTAAAATCCACTTATTTAATAACTGAAAACAATAAATAGGACATGCGTATCATCTGTGATTGTGACATGACTTAAGCATAGCAATGGCTAAGAACATCTGAAAATTCATCAACAATTCTCTCTAATCAATAAGAAACTCATCCAGAAATGTCTGAAAGCTAACACAAACCAAATGGAGAAAAAAATTAGTGAAGTAAAAGTAAAAAAAAGTTCCATTCTAATAGCAACTGCTCAAAGAAATAATAAAAAGCCCCAAAATAAAAAGTGAAAGCATTTCAAGAATGAAATTAATTTTAAAACAAAAACTTTGCAACGGTTAAACAATCCAAACAACTCATAGAGACTGAGTTGATAATTTGATAATTTTACTGGAGATAATCACATGAAAAGATTAAAGAAACTTACAGCCCTTTCTGAAGTTCCTGGAGGACCGTCAAGAATTTTAATTCGAGCTTGAGTCTCCTCTACAATTTTTTTGATAGACTCTCCTTTGCGTCCAATTATACCACCAACCTTCTGGGCAGGAACCAACATCCGAAACACACTGTCCCCAGGCCATCCTGGCCATTTCTTCTCCCCAGTTCCAGCAACTGACTCCTCAACGTGCCCCTCTCTTTGCTCATGCTCTAAATTCTCGGTTGGTTGCTCAGCATCAGTTTCACTTAAATTTTGATCAACTTCTGCCATACGGGTGCTACTGGTTTACTACAAGGAAGGACGCAAGTACATTAGAAATCGGGAAAGACTTAACTAAGATCTAGGATGAGTGGCAGAACAATCACATGCACTCCAAGCATGGCTAGATCGCTGAACAACAAAAGCAACTGATTTTTGCATCATGCCATAACTTTAAATGATTAACTGTTGTCCTCTTTAAACACATGGGAAATATTTGACTGGGATGGGTGGCAGAAAAATCACATGCACACCAAGCATGGCTGGATCGCTGAACCAACTGACTTCCACATCAAGTGATAATTTAAATGAATAACGAAAAATATACAGCCATTCGTTATAAATAACAAAAGAAATACTCCCCAACTGAAACCCCCATTATTTAATGTGGAGCAAAACGAGAAAGGGGATGAAGTAATTATAATACGATAGAAGAACGGCGTAACCAAGGAAACGCAGAAATATCATCTTAATTCGATCTAGACGGCTTTCCGAAGATGAAGCCAAGAGCCAAAAGTCAAATAGAAATCAAACAGTCCCTTAACAGGTTAGATCAAAATGGATAATATATATAATCACAAACATATAATCTGGAAAATCGTGCTATTCAACAAGGGAACAAGTGCCAGAGTAGAAAAAAAGTCCTCCAGCTGATTAAACTTGCCTGGGTCAAGCGAGAGTTCGAATGGCGGAATAACGGTTAAAATTCTAGGGTTTGGGGATAGAAAAGAGGTCTGAGAACGTTGATGTAAAATTTTGTCTACTGAACTAGGGACGGGGTTGGCCGGTGTGGAGTTATGTTCCCCGCGATATCCATAAGAAATATCATGCTTTGGCACTTTGCATGTCGTTTATCTCATCAAGAACCCCCTAGAATTTTACGTTGGTAAAATTCAGAGATGTCTGAAAGCTAACATAAACCAAATGGAGAAAAAATTAGTGAAGTAAAAGTTAAAAAAAATCCACCTTTTGTTAAAATTTGCTTGTGTCCCCTGTCCATGAAATCCTTGACACGGTAATGTTTTGGGCAAAGCCGAAGTAGGCTTCGACTTCATATTTTTATTTGCCTGAAAAATAAATAACGGTGTTCAGACTCCATGCCAATCGTTTCTTGTCCTCCGTTGTGAAGGTACGCCTAGGTGCTATCATATTCAAAATGAGCGTCTGAACTTTTAGAGTGGGGAGCTTCACTCTAATGTTCCCTAGACATTCAAAATTGGCTCCTCAACTCTTCTGGGCGGGGCGAGCTTCACTTCATTGTTCCTTGGACAATGTTCCCATTACATTTATATCAACGGGCTTACAATGTTACGAGATTAAATAATCAAAATTCAAAATTTGCTCCTGTCAAACGTTCCCTAGATGTACTCTAAATCAGGGCGTTAAAAATACATCGGATTCTTCTAAAATTAGGAGTCACGAGCAAAGCTTCGAGCCGGGTTCCATGTCTAAAGAATAAGAGTTTAAAATATCAGAATCTTACAGTCAAAGCTCAACACAATTGAAACCAAGAAAATACACCACCACTTCTCCAGAGAGAAGGGCTAGCATTCACCCTTTAGTGCTGGGAGCAACTGTAATGACACACGAAACCATCTTTATCTTCGCAGGCTTAAAACCATTGATCATTATCAGTATGTGTGGCGGAGAAATATTACGAACTATAACAGTGGAAAGATGAGCTCTACTGAGACCACTCAGTAGCGCCTTATCATTATAATGTCACCCTTTACCTCATGGGCATCCAATGAAACAATTATACATGTACTCCCTAGTTATCTCTATAATCGCAAAGAACGCAGAAGAATTTGAATATTAACTACAACAGGTGCACATTATTGACAGGGTTCTACGCTATTCATCCCTTCTTGGCATCAGCAACAGCTGCTTCTGATGCAGTTTTAGTGGCAGGAGTAGTTGCAGGAGCCATCAAATTGTCAAACTTCTCAGATTTTCCCAGCACAATCTCAATCTAAGAGGATCAATAAGAAGAAATTAATTGCTAACAAATTACAGGGGGAAAAACAGATGAAGGTCAGACACTTAGAACCTACTTTAGCCTTGTGCATCAGACGACCTTTATTCTCGTCCTTAATGCCAACGGTAGATGTCGAAACTTCTGTTTCATCCCATGATTAATTTGTTAGCCACATTAATCATGTGTGTAAATCGAACATCGATCACATGAAAAGGAGAAAGAAATCTTACTCTTCTCAGTAGCGAGTCCATTGTTCTTCAAAATCTCTGCAATTGTGACAACCGTCGCGATCGCTACACAGAAACAAACAAATTTAGTTCTAATATTCAAGTCAAATTCAAAGAATCAAAATTATGGAAATGCGGAAAAAATCAAGTGTAAAATAAATTCCTCGGTTTCAGTTTCAGGTTCACCTAGGGAAACTTTAACACGGATGCTTCACCAGCTATATGCCATAATTTTGGATTTAGCAACTACGAGTCAGAGAAAGCCAATGGCAACAGAAGGATTCAAATTTCCAGACTATACAACTCTTGATGGTGTTATTCATTTCTCCACTAATCAACAAACATAGAGAGACTAATGGGATAGAGAATTTATCAGTCATTTGCATAGCAACATTAAGATGCTGGCGTTTCTCCCCCCCCCCCCCAAATAAAATAAGAATCAGTCAAAAATCATATAACTGGGTGCAAAAGAACAAGTAACTCCTTATCTGCTAGCTGCATTTTAAGATTCAAATTAATATATATATATATATATATTTCTCATATGAAGATAAATATATCCCTTGTATGGGGGTTGCACTAGGTGGGGAATACAATTTATACATTACCTTTTATAAAAAGGAACATTCAATATCCAATGACTAATAATGGAAAATATACATAAGATTCTGAGAAAGAAGTACCCATCCCCAATGCAGAAAGCTCAACCTCATTGTGCTGCTGTATGTACCTCTGTATCAAAAAGAACCCATTTGGTCATTATACATACATCCAGGAAATAATCTACCCTCATCATAGGTTGGGTTTTACCTTTTCTTTCAAGTATACCATTCTATTACATTATTTACTGCCAAAAATCGCAAATCCCCCACCCTATTCAACCATCCGTAACAAGTAAGCAAAGAAATAAATAAAGAGCGAGAGAGAGAAGTAATATATAAAGCATCAAAATGATTATTTGCAGATCCAAGAACCGACTACAAAAGGGGGAATCCATAAAGTTTAATCAACAATACTCCACAGATTCGTAAGAACGAAATAGCTGTTTCCTAAAGTTGAATCGACAGCCATCGTATCCATCACATTGAGACATGTTAGCCGGCGGCACAGTGTTTCTTTCATTCTATCAGGTTACTGAAACTTTATGGCTTGTTATCGATCAGAAGCCAAGAAATGGGGTTCAAACAGTCAAGCACAGATCATCTCGAACAATATGTATACCAATAATGTGCCCAAAAAAATCTCCGATTTCAGAACAAGATTCCCTTTCTACAAGAAATGGAAGCTTTCTTTTGTTGTTTATTTGCTAATGCCATTGAATAGATCACGTTTCTTATATAATATACGAATCAAGAGTAAATAAATCCTGAATAAAAAGAGATATTATGATAATAAAACAAAGATGGATACCTTGGCGAGATTGACGTAAAAGAAAAGCGGCTTCTTGGTGTTGGAAACCTGGATTCTGTTCTTTTTCGAGTTTTCGGTGTCTCCATTTTCAGCGAGGGTCGTGGTGCTTTTCTTCTCGAGGGCTTCAGCGTTTCCATTGACGACGACGGACGTCACATTTTTCTTGGGGGCTTCAGTGTTTCCATTTGCAGCCACGGTCGTCATTGTTATCGTCTAACTCTGTCTTATTCTGTTGCGCTTTATTGTACGGAATGCTTTGGAGCGGGAAAATGATTAAATGAACAAGAGGTTCGATCGGTGAAGTAGGGGAAATCAGTTAGAGCCGAGTTCACGTAGAACGTGACTCTTAGAATCGCAAAACCATTAAGAGGAGGACACGTGGTGGTGCCTAATCGCACGTGGACGCGGTAAAGTGTATTGGCAGTTGGGATTGAACCTAGTGAAAGAACAAGCCCGTTAGAAGGGGAGAAAAACACTGCGTGGTTGTTATGTTTTTGAGTGGATTGACGAATGTGACCCTCTTTCAATGGGCTCTTGGCCCAAACCTTCAAATAAAAAAGCCCGCCCCAAATTTTGGGTCTGACGATCGCATCGACCTCGATTTGTAGTTTTCTTGTTGACAACGAAACCAAAAAGTGCCACCTTTTTCAAAAAAAAATAAAAAGAAAAATCCAGTAACGAGATCACTCAGAGGCCGTTCCTAATTCATCTTCCTCCTCTCTAAGGGAACATGGCGGAGGCTCTTTTAACAACACAGACTCGGTGTTATTTGCAGATCTACTATTAGTTTTCTAATATAAGAAGCCATACTTTTAACGTGAACCGGATCGGTAAAAAGGATGGATTAGATATTGAAAAGCGATGGTTAAATCGAAGGTAAAGATTTTCTGAAATTAAAAATCGAAGATAATAGCGTTTACAATCATGTCACAGAGTAGTGTGCAAGAAAGATGCACGCGACATACGGATATATAATAGAGATTATGTCACAAACTAGAATCACTAATTTGGTCGATCAAATAAAGATGATGGAAAAGGGGGAGTGTGGTTTTATGTTGACCGTAATGGTTGGGAGGGGAAGAATCAAAGAAAGGAAATGATACACGTACGCTGCTGGTTGGAGAATAATTATGCATGCGTGTGTACGGATAATTTGCAAGCTTGATGCTTCGGACTCAAATGTTGGTGTTGTGGTCCAGTCATATATATATGAATCCCCATTGATTTGCAGCATCTGCTTCTAACTAATATGTAGGTCGGCACTCTGCAGAATGATGTGGCGGGTCCACACAAAATCACACTAACTCGTGTCTGTTTCGCTTTCCTTTGACATGTGGGGTTCCTTCTCCACACGTGCGAATTCCAAATTTGTTTCATTCCCCTCGACATGTTCCACCAACAAATCAACAAGCCCGCCTCTTTCCAATGATTATTCGTTGTGACAGAAATCTCAAGGTTACTCGCACACGTTGCCAGGTCATGTCTCCCAAAAATGCAAGTTCGCTGCTCTCGGCCTTGGGCATGCATGTCGCGATGATCAATCTCCCGCCAAGAGCTTCTTAAATTTGGTAGTTTGCTGTCGAGACGAGCCGAATTAATAAAAGGGGAAGAGGTCGGGGGTGGGAGCCATGTTTGAAATGTGATTGCTCAATTGACGATAGAAAATTGAGAAAGCAGCGGGTGTAGCGGGATCCATGCCCATTCAGTTTATATGGATGACGTATGTCGACTTATCGTGTTAGTCTCTGATTGGATTTACATCCGAGAGCGTCATCTCACCAAGACAATTGACTACTCATTCGGGCCAAGTTCCACGTCTCGTCTTGATGACTGAAGCCAAACTCTCGAGAGGATTCTTGGGACCATACTCACAGTCGGTGCGATTACAGGAGATAAAGAATGCCGAATTAGTGGACTAGAAACCCCAAAGCTTTCTTGGCCAGCTGCATTATCCTTGCACGTGGACGTGATTTGTGTCGTTTTAGAATTTAGACTGGAGATCATGCGCATCAATATTTATAATTTATGGGCTGATTGCCGAATTCAAGCTCAAGTTTGGTGCGGCACAAACGATAGGACCACCGCCAAGCCCGCGAAAACCAGCAGTGTTTGATTCTGTAAGAGTGAGAAGGTAGCACAAGGAACCCATTTGGAGGGTGGGTGTGGGTGAATCTTTTTTGACTTTGTAGGTGCCTCGAAAGCAGCGGAATGTCGGATATTCAAAACTCAAAAGTGAAGCCTAGAGGTAAAGAGCTTACTTTTTCTTTGTTTTTACAATAAGTAAAGAGCTCACTAAATCTGAATTCAAAACAAACCCCAGGTCCAATTTTCATTATATTTCATGTTGCAGAAAAAAAACGTTGTTTCACATTGCAGGTAACAATTTTTCTGTTTCACCCTCGTAATAATTTTCCATTTATTGTTATAATATTTTTAAAAATAATAAATGCGAGGCAGATTTAATGAAAAATACCATATTTTTATATATCCATTGTCAAAAAGAAACGGAGGAGATGAGCAGTTAGTAGTTGCTACCCCAGGCTGGTCCAGAAACTCCCAGTCCCGGGTGACGCCTGCTGGTAATTAACGGCAACTGTGTTTCCAAGCCTCTACTGTGCTAATTGATTTGAAACAAAATAACTATGATATACATGGTCGGACTTAAATTATAAAATATTTTTAAATAAAATCTTATATATCAATAAATTTTATTAAATACACTTACTAACTTTATTTTACAAAAATAAAAATATAAACTTTTAAAAATATATTTTATTTAATAATTTTAAATCTATAATTAATTAGTATTAAAGAGAAAAAGATAAAAAATAATATTAAAATAAGTCTATTCAATAAAATATTAATCTTATCAAAATATTTTATTTTTTAAAGCAATAAATTTTTTTAAAAAATATTTTATAACTTAGAATGGATTTTAACACAGTGCTATTGTTTATCTTTTTGGAGTGCTAGTCTATGCACGAATTCCAATACTGGAACAAACTAGTTATGTTGGCTCGCCAGGGCAAAAAAAAAAAAAATTATATAGGTACTGATGATATTGAGATGGGGGAGATTCAAAAAAGGCATTTGCCTCCGCTGGGCTTTGAAATTCAAAAAAGGGCTTTGAAGGGTGAGTGGAGCGAAGATAAAAGCGAAAAAGCCAGTCAGCCAGCAACAACCAGCGAGCAAAGTGAGCAGCGAGGAGTTTTGAGGCCTAGGCGTCATCTGTACATTATGACCCAACTTTCAGGTCATTATTATTAACCGAAGAAAACGATTGTTGAACACCATATTTTATTTATTTATCTTCGCTGGATAATGGAGTTCTACATTTCAAAACGATACTTTGTCTACATGTGAATCGCTATCAGGTGAAGGGAAATTGATAGGAAACTACATTTTATTTCTACGAACTGGCTGTTGATCAATGCTTCAGCTCCCAAGTCGTCATTAGTCAGTCCTAATATTTTGGTTTCACCGTCATCTTGCTTGCCGTCAGCCCATCACGCGTTGCTTCATCTAACATACTAATTACCATAAAAAAAAAAAAACGCAGTCACAGGAAATTTATAAATTTCTTATTTTCTCTCAGCTTAGATTTTTTATTTCTCGACGTATTAAATCTCAAGCCTTGTTGTATACCTTATAGTGTTGAATTTTAATTGAAATATGATGAATTAATAAGTTGTAAGGACAACTCACATAAAATTGAAACTCTCATCGCCTAGGATCGTTTTAAATAAGTCAAGAGGGAAGGGGATTACAAATGATAATTTTTAGGATGTTTGTTGTGACTTTAGGTTTCGGGATAAGAATAATTGGACCGTAATTTGTCACTTGACTTGATGCCATTCATCGCCACGATAGCATGCATGGGTTAGTAACGCCCTTGAATCATATACTTACTGTCTTTCAAATATGTTAGCATTCACCAAGTGATATAAATCTTGACTTAATTTTATTTGCAGGCTCTTGCTGTCACGATTAATTAATATTTATAAAATAACTTATTAATGAAACTATAAATTTTTTAAAAAATGATTTATAAATAAAAATAAAGAGAGGATTATCTATCTTATTCTAATAATAAGTCATGGACTGAGTTTCCTTCAAATTTTCTATCATAAAAACCCTAGTCCAATTTAATAATTAAATTGAAGAGGATGTTTTGAGATGTTGATTTTGGCCCATCAATTATCATCTTCCTAATTAATAATCATGGAGCCAATCCGTGCAAAACTGGACTTCCATGGCTCCTCCGCCGCTGGTGCCTATCCCTTTTCTTTTCGTATTTTGTACGGGTGGAAGTTTTCAACTCTAACGTCACTCCGTTGAAATCTCCCTCCCGTTTAACCCCGTCAATTATTCGAACCCCACGCTCAGCGGATAGTGATATAAGTGGCGAAGTGGCGACTTTCTTGAAGGAAACAGAAGTGAAATTATCGCCGTTAAGAGTCACGCAATTTTCTCTATATAAGCGCATCTACATTAAACCACCGGTGCGAAACAAAAAGGGAAAGCTTTTTTGTGAACTTCCCTGAAGACAAGGAATATCGTCGAAACATATTTGAAATTTTTCTATTTCGCACGTCCTGAAAAGCCCAATAGCGAGAGGAGGGAGGAGGAGGGCCTCGAGATCCTGTCAGATCGAAGTGGAACTGGAAGCGAAATTTTCACATTATTGACTTTCTGGTGCGATTCCCGCTCTTTCTGTGTTATCGTAGTTAATCTTGGCAATGCGGGTATCAATTTTTTATGTCGCTGGGGATATTTGGTTCATCGATATATTGCTTTGGGGCTTGTTTGTTGTATTGCCTTATGTGCTGTTTTTTTTTTCTCCTGAGGGTGCCCATTCTTTACAACGTTGGCCTAGAAGAAGTCAAGCCTATCTCATCTTCTTTTTATTTTATTTTTCTTACTACAGCGCTAGCTTCAGGAGAAAGGATTTTGGCAATATCTGATCCTAATCTTCTTTCACGGCGGTTCGACTTATCCGGGTAGCTGCCAAATATGAGCTATTTCCTTTTAATAATTATAATACACATGTATTGGGCCGATTGGGAGAATTGAAATCTGTGGGTCTATTACATATTGTTCGTGTTTAATATTGGTTCCCTTCCAGATTTCCTGTATCTATGTCGTCGGTTTATTTCTGGATTTGTTGGGTCCAGCTTAAGCCTTTCATCTGCAGTTATATTGACCGAAGCTTCTTCCGGAGCTAAAGAACCATTTCCATCCATAGTGAATTTAATTCTCTGTGTTAGGCCCTCTGTGATCCTCTTTATTGATCAAACTGAACGAAAACGGTATCTCAGTTGAATTTATAATTCCAAATTTCCAGGACGTAAAATTGTCTTTACATGTGGTTCATTTATCTTTAGATCACGTTGAGATTGCTCTTAAATGGTTGGGCGTCATACACAAGATTTGCACTGGAGATTCGTAATGATTCTGCAATAGCTCTTAGAGTCTTACCTAAAACTGCCCCAATATCCCTTTTCTCCTTTTTCACGTCGAGGCTCAAGAGGATTCTTCTTCTTCAAAAGATCATGTAAAAGAATGATTAATTTATTTATATTAGGAGGGGTTTGGCCATAAGAACATTTTCTTTTCTCAACTGGGGAGTCCCATGCATATTATTTAAAGTTAATTGGGAAAAATAATTTATTTTTCTTTACCATGTTATAGCAATTTGTCTTCCGCATCATTTCTCAAGTTCCTTTTTTCTTTTTCTTTTTTTTCCTCCAGGTGGATGATTTCTAGGTTTCCCTGGACAGTTTACGAAGAATCTATCAGTCTCTAGAATTTTACTTTAGAATATTAGTGGACCGTGTTCTTTATCATTTACTTTAGAATGATGCTGTTTTTTTTCCCTATCGAAGTTTCGTTTCCATCTTTGCTGTAAATTAACACATATATAGTTAGTTTGGAAGGCCTTTGTCCCCCTTCCCCCCGGTTTGCTTACAATTTTACATATTTTTTGTATTCTATGTTGCTTAGCCTATAACCTATTATTTGCAATATTGCAGCATCATGGGGAGGGAAGTTACAGGCATACATGTTGTGGACAAGAGGCCAAATGCTGTCCCAGTGGCCTCAAACGGTAGGTCTAATGACAAAGTACACATTTCTCCCAAACTTGCAGCAGTTAAGTGTGATGCAAAGGATCATGAGGTAGAGGAAAGTAGTGGAGCTAATTCTCTTATTGAGAAAAATCATGTAAAGAATAATGTTTTGGGTACTAAAAGCATAAACCATGATGCTGTCTTGCCTGAGGAGAAGAGCGAGAAAAATGAAATACATGATATCAAAAAGCTAAGCTCGCCTGCTAGTAGATCCACTTTTGTAGAAGAGCATACAAAACACTCTGATTCAACGTTATCTGATCTGGCTAATGAGAAGCATGACTCCAACTCCCAGGCTGGTGAAACTGGTGGTATTTTGTCACCAAATGCTGATAATAATCATTCCCCTAGCTCAACAAAGAATTCACAGGTATTTGAAATTTAAGTGAGACTGCAATTTCTTGTCAATTGAACATGTAAAGTTGTTAATAGTTCCCTTGCTTCAAGACGACTGAGCACACCGAATGAGAATGGCACAACTGGGATCTTATTATTGTTAACTTTTTCAATGTGTTTGTTTGTGATTTATGTTTCTGTGAGTGAGCTTTTGTTTCTGAGATGATTTTAATATTTAAACAGATTGGTCTGATACAAGAACCCTTTAATGCCACAAAATTGATATTCCATTATTTACAGAATTTAGGGTATTCACACTTGAATTATACTTAATTAATTGTTGAAGCTTATAGACCATGCCTAATAAATGCAAGCAGCCACTGGCTAAGATTGAATCAACCAGAAGCCTTTGAAATGGTGTTAACCCATTAAAAAGCGATTGTCTCCCAACATTGCTAATTTGCTGATGGCAACAGACTTCCCTGTTGACGTGGATACAGTTTGAGTTTGTGGGGGCATATAAAACACATATTGCTATTTGTGTGCGTGCGCTTCTGAAAATAAATTATCAATCAGATTACTGATCTGTAAAATGTTCTGATTTGTTTTTCAGTTTAGTTCACCTCTTCCACCAGGAAAGCTCTTGCAATCTGAAGATAACAAGCACTGTGATGATGAAGATAATTGGTCTGTAGCTTCCTCGTATCCTCTAGACTTTTAAGGAGACATACTTATTAATACGCCAATTGTTCAGTCATTTGTTCCTTTAACCATTCATTTTAGTGCCACATCTGGGCGTACTGCCAGATCTAAGGTAACTGTGGGCACAGCCCCTACATTTAGATGCTCAGAGCGGGCAGAGAAACGGAAGGAGGTATTGTTTTACTGAACTGTCAACTCTGATGTTTATTTAGCTTGAGTGGTTGATATTATAGGTTGAAGTGAAGAGGTAGTTTTGGTTCTTATCATCACTTTGATTTATCCATTCAGTTTTATATGAAGTTAGAGGAGAAACATCGAGCGCTCGAAGAAGAAAGAAGCCAGTGTGAAGCAAGGCAGAGGGTACAATAATCTTTCTTTAACATTCATATGCAGCGCAACCCAAGTGTTTTTATTTTTCACCTTTTTCCTTTCCTTTTGTCTTCCCCCTGGCAGAAACATCCACCACCTCTTTAATTACCCTGGGATGTTCCATGTATATCGGTTATCCCTAGGTTACTAAATACACATTGAACTTATGAAATGACTTATTTGCTGTTTTATTTAATAATATACCTCATAGGAAGAGAGAGAAGCAGCTATCAGGCAATTAAGAAAGTCTCTGGTAATTAAAGCAAATCCAGTACCAAGTTTCTACTATGAGGGGCCTCCACCAAAGATTGAACTGAAAAAGGTATTCTTCCTCTTTTTTCACGTGTTTGTTTTCCTAGTTCCCAAAGAATCTGGATGAATATGACACTATCATTGTCAATTCCTGAAGTTGCTGGGATAGACCCCTAGAAGTCCATGAAAGATAGCAGTATGTTCAGAATTTATACTTCTGATGTCAGGATACTGTTAATTATTTGTCTGCTCTCAGTAACTTGTCCTCGTCAATGACTTGGCTGTATTTTCACTTGGCTGTATCTTCAGCTCTAGTTGTCGGGGTTCTTGCTTCTAGGTGCTCCCATGTTTACTGCCGACTTCATTTTTTTAAATGCATGGGGCAAGCCAGTGCTTGGGGTAGCTAAGTGGGATTGAACCCACAACTTATCCCCAACTAGGGTGAACCCCGTGTCACAAGGCCAACTTTGCTTTTAGTTCTTATCAATTAGAAGAATGATGATCTTAATTGGTGAACGACCATATAATCTCAATGCTTCTCTAATACAGCTGCCACTGACTCGGCCCATATCACCAAAGCTAAGCCGGAGGAAGAGTTGCGGGGATGCTGTTACCTTATCTCCAGAAGTTTGTAGTCGTGCACAGCGTCACAGCATTGGTAGCTTCAAACAGGGATGCAACAGCACTCCTGTGACTAAAAAAAGTAAGGAGCAGGTCATTGGACGTAACAGCAATGGCAGTTGCAAAACCAAGGAACGACCAAAACTGGACAAGGAAACGAAAGCGGCTCCTCCTAATATGTCGGACCTGGCGAATGCAGATATATCTGTCCAGTCATGAGCTTCCAAAAAGTCTTATACTGACCTCCAGTTGAGAGGAAAATAGCCTTCGTGTGGGATTGTTTGCACAAGAGATGAACCTATTTTCTTTTCATCAGGAATGACTTGTTAAACCGTTTATGCTAACTTGAATTGTATATGTTTTGTAAGTTATAGTGGTGCATATCATGTTGTATGTAAAGATAGAGTTGTGATCTAATGCCGGACTAAATGTGATATTCCGCAGTCTGCCTGCCCCTTCCCGCTGGTGAGAGGATATATTCTGTACGAGAAAACGTTGTGTTTCTTTCTCCAGGAATAGTATTAAGGGATGCTATACATTGATTTACCGATGTGTGTTTCTTGCCCTATTTGTACAAAAGGGGAGGTGGATTGGCCATTTAAGTTTATATATACACTACATATATTTCTAAACAGGTTTGCAGAAATACACGAGCAAATGCTTTAGATGGCTGTACATTTCTGATATGATATTCGTATGGTTGAAAGTTAGTTAAAACTTGAAAATTTCTCAAGAGAATTCTAGTGTCTGAACAACATAAAAGCGTCGATCATTAGACAAACTACAGACTTGTGACAGCATGGGAAAAAGTGTTACGATTGAGATGGGTATGGGACGATAAAATTAAAAGCTGGTTTGAATAATCTTCAAAAGTACATTCAAATTATATTTAAAATGTTCTTATATTTAAAATGTTCTTTTATCAAATTTAATAAATAGTTGGATCTTTTAAATATATTTTTGGTAAATGTAAACTAAAATTTAAATGAATATTAAAATTAAAAGAATGAAGGAATCAAAATACGCTTTCACTCATATGGTAAAAATTTATCTCAATTGTCTATTGGCATCTGTATGAGGGTATAGAGATAAAAATGATCAAAATCATGTATCTTTTTGGGCCAAATGAAAATCATATATTAACTTCCATGAGAATAGTAATTACAATAAGCGAGGGTATGCAACTATGTATAGTGTTGCAGAGGGTGTCACGTGATACATGGGGTGTAAGAGATAAGATATTGAGTGTCGGATTGTATTGGCTGATGATGGGCTGGGTGTTAGGTGTGGTGCTATTGGTCTTGATTGTTTATTTGGTGTTGGGCTGACTGCATTCTCTAATAATATAAACAAACATTTCAAATGGAACGAATCAAAATGCATTTCTTTCATCAATTCTTTTGAGCAGTAATTACATGAATGGAGTGAACTCATGTTGTCTTTTAATAAGATTTGAATTCTATTCTTGAAATTGTTTGAGCAGAATTGTAATGTTAATGTATTTCAGGATGAAAAACTAATAAATCAACAATTAATCTCATATCAAAAGAATGCCGTAAAGGCTACGCATGCATAGCCACAAAAGAAAACAAGGCCTGGGATCTGAGTGCTAATGGGTAATTACTAATAATTATTATTTAATGGACTGATTTCGCTAACCCCTATCGTTCGCTCTTGCTCGAGCGGTCTCGGCATATATGTATTATGTCCAGTCGACCACCTGTTGACCTGACTATCTCTTCTTGCCTCTAAAAATCATGGTCACTTCTTGCCATTTTTCCTCTTCCCTTGCTTTTCAACCCCTCAAGACCCCTAAATCGCCCATTGACTTCTCATTCGCACGGTTCAGAAATCTGACCTGTACTTCCGCACTCGATGCCCCGAAACCGAAGCCTAAATTCGCCCCGGATAGGCACAAGGCTAGCACTAAAAGCCGCAGAAAATCTTCTTACGGCATGTCGAGAAGGTCACTTCTCAAGAAAACATTCAATCAAGAGCAAGTGAACTTCACTGCTCCCATTTCGGATGACCCAGTTGTTGGCATTATCGGAGGTGGCGTGTCGGGAATAATTTGCGCCATGTATTTGGAGAAGCGTGGTGTACGGTCCACTGTATTCGACACGGTTAGTGTTTTTTTTTTTTTTTCCTTTTTTTTCTTTTTTGTATTCTGCTTTCTGGTTAATAGCTGGCTCGTCGGGGAACCTGAGTTGTGTTGGGACTTAGGAGTGCATAGTTAAAACATAATTGTTAATCGAGCTTTTCTATGTTCCTGACCTCAAGTATGCATCAAAGGTCGAATTGTATAATACATTGGTTTCTGCATCTTCCATTTGAACCCTGGGGAGCACCGTTTGACAACCTACAGGTGCATTAGTCAAGAACTCCAAGGAAAGAAAATTGCAATAGAAGCATTGAAGTCTTCCTCTGCAACAAGAAAAAGGAAAAATGGGAATTAATCACCTGTTTCTGCATATTGTTTATAGGGTATTCATGGTGTGGGAGGAAGAATGGGAACCCGAGTTATTGATCCGCAGCCTTTGATATTTGACCACGCAGCCCAATTCTTTACGGTGAATGATTCACGGTTTAGTGAGCTGCTTGATGGTTGGTTGGACAAGGGTCTGGTCCAAGAGTGGCAGGGTACAATCGGAGAACTTCATAATGGTGGTCATTTTGTTCCATTTCCACCATCTCCTTCAAGATATGCAGGCACAAATGGAATGCGGCCACTCGCTCATTCATTACTGTTCGAGGTGATTAATTATTCAATCAAAACATCTGATAAGAAAATAAAATACATTGTTGAGATCAATGTCCTTCCTGCTTCCAAGGCACGGGGGTAGTTGTGCTCAGCTAACTTCCAAGTCCTAAATATATTTGTTAAATTACTAACTTTTTACTAGGAAATGACATTTGTTCCAAAGAAAATAATCTTCTCCATACAACAATAATCAGCAAACCTGTTTCCTCTTTTCTGCTTCTGTTTCCTTTTCATCCCTGACAAGAATCTGACTTTCAGTGCAGACTCACATGGTTAGTGTGGTGAGACCATGCTGGATCAGTAAACTCGAGCCATTCAATGGGATGTGGCACTTGAGTGAGAATGGGAAACCTTGTGGGAAGTTTGATGCTATTGTTATTGCACACAATGGTAACTTAATACGTCTATCTTGAGCTCCCTTTGTGTAGCAACACTGTCTTTTCTGCTGCAATGCCTGAAAACGATGTTTTGGGTTCCAAAATTGCCGTTTGGACATTTTTTGGGGAGGATTTTGACATGTAGCTTGAGTCATTTGACTTGTTCATTTATAGTAACTCTTTCCTGCTCTGTTTTTCTTACAGGAAAATGTGCAAATCGCTTGCTTATGTCATCAGGGCTACCACTAGTCGCTGAGCAAATGAAGGTAGAACCCAATCATATTCCTAATTAGTTCATTTGATTTTATGTAATAACAAACCTTCATCTACTGGTAGGCGCACAGCTACATTCTTTTCATACTCTTATTTTTGTTGTCTGCTATGCTAGAGGTTAGAGTTGAGTTCAATATGGGCCCTTTTAGCAGCATTTGATGATCCACTTCATCTCCCGGGCAGCACAGCTGCAATACCTTTCGAAGGAGCTTTTGTGAAAGGAGTTGATTGTCTTTCACGGATGGCCAATAATACCAAAAAACTGCTGAAGTCCCAAAGTGGTGGTCCTCACTGTTGGACCTTTTTGAGTACTGGCGCTTATGGAAAGCAAAATAAGGTTCCGCAGGTTTGTATACAAAATGACTATCCTATATTTTTTTCTTATGCTGACTTCGATTGTGAGGTCACGTCCAGGCCTTTTGTTTGGTTTGAATAGGCATGGGAAGTAACGATACACTATCACCGTGCTTAGATATGTGGTTTTGCACTGACCAGGACTCTTCCTATATGTCTTGCTTGCATTTTCGACTTTTTATTTTTGGCCACGTTTTAAATCTGAATTCCATTCCATCGACGACTGTGTTTATCAGGAAAATATCCCTACTGCAACTGCAACGAAGGTAAAGGCAGGCATGCTAGAGGGTGTTGAGGCTGCTCTTGGATTATCAAAAGGATCGCTTCAAAAACCATTCTATGCCAGGCTCCAATTATGGTAGGAATTCAATCTTTAAGTACCAAGTTTGATTGCTTTGACAATGTCGTGCCATCATTACGACGAAGCCGGAATTGAAAAGATTTCCGTCTGGCATATAAGATAACAATGAAAAATTCACGGGTGAGTATAATTTGGGTTGTGTCATAGTTACCCTTGACCTGCAGCTATCCTTGAGAAAAATCATCTGGATTCACGTGATTGCAGTTATCGGATATTTTCTATACTCAGAAATTGTGCTAGCCTCTAAAATGACATACATGGATGCATGCATAATTATTGTTTATATAGCTTTGATGCTCGTTTTTGCCTCAGTGAACGTTGGCTCAATCAGGATGTTCAATACCGATTTGACTTTTATCTCGTTCGACGTACTTTTGGATAGAATGTTAGTCACGTACCCATAGTTGCATCTCTGATGTACTTGTTCGCCCCAAACCTCAGTCTATACCAAGCTTAGAAGATAAACTAAAATTATTTATCATGTTACTGTTTCAGAGCTTGTATAATATTAGATCAGCTTCAGGAGCAGTATTTGTGGACGAGGAATTAAAATTAGTGTTTAATATACGAAAGGAATTTTTGGTTGACAATATTTTCAGTGATTTCATGCAATCTGTAGCAGTGAAATAAAACATTGTTGTTTAATATTTAATTATAATGGACCCACATATTTGCACAAAGCCCGAGATGAAGTGCATTACTTAATTAACTTACTACACTTACTATATTTTATATAGATATTGGTATGTTGATGATATTGATTCTGACATTCGATTAATGACTTGCAGGGGTGCAGCTCTACCAACAAATACACCTGGCATTCCCTGTATCTTTGATCCTTATGGAAGGGCCGGTATATGTGGTGATTGGCTGCTAGGTTCAAGTATAGAGGCAGCAGTGCTAAGTGGAATGGCTCTCGGCAACCATGTAATTGTCGTTCCAAACTTCGTGAATTTTATTAACGCAACGGATAAACTAAATGGTTGTGCTTAATTGCTTGACACAGATTGCAGACTATTTCCAACATGGAGTTAATCATCCTTCAGATTTTGCTGTTGGTTTGGAGCAAGAATTTCAACCGCTCACAAGTCATGATATTGGACAATTTCCAGGCTTAGAACCACGAGAAAAAATGAACGAGATTGAGATACCTCGGCCTGTAGAATAGACCTTCCTCCGATTACTAGGTACTAAACTGTGGTTACTCATTTACTCCATATCGACTGGCTAGGAAACAAAGAATCTGAATTTGCTGGAATCAAAATTGCAACTAGAAACATTCTTTCATTAGCAAATAAACGAACTATAATCCTTTCCATTCTACAAACGAATTTACAGACAAACAACCGCTTGCTACTTTCTACTTCTTGACCTTCTTGACAGCCTCTTTTTTGGCCGGCGATTTGACGCTCTTGGGCTTCTTCACATTCTTTGCCGCTTTGACCACCCTCTTCCCGAGAGAGGTCCTGGCCGATACCTTTACCGGCCTCGAAGTCGCTTTTGCACTTCTTGCAGATGAAGGTTTGGGTTTGGGAACGGCTTTGGGCTTAGCCACCACTTTTGGTTTAGCAGAGGGCTTAGATGCGGCCTTGACGGTTGGCTTTGGGGGCTTCTCCGTAGCAGGAGCCGGCTTTTTAGGTGGAAGCTTGAAGGAGTTCTTGACCTTGACGAGCTTGCCGGCAGCCACGGACTTCTTCAAATTGTTCAGCAAGAGCTTCCTGAAAGTGGGAGGCAAATGCTTGTGCTTCTCCTCGATGAACTTGGTGATGGCATACTGGCTGGAACCGGTCCTCTCCTTGAGACTTGCGATCGCATCCGCGATCATCTAGCAACCCAGCAAATACATATTATCAATTATCACGCCCCACAAGGATTATCAAAAACGAAAAATGAAGATTAAAAAGAATACCTCGGCGAAAGGTGGATGTGAGGGCGAGGGTTTGGGTTTCCTCGCGACGGCAGATTTCTTGGGCTTTGGCTGGGCAGAGGCGGCCATGATCACACTTACGATGGACTACGATATTGATAACCGCTATGCATATGGCGGAGGATTATCGGTGGGTGCCTATTTATAAAGCCAGAGGGAATATTTTTCCGAGGTGCTGATTGGTGGAAAACGCAGTCGCCCGGATCCGCATCCCGTTTGGTTTAATGTTTAAATATGATCCGTCGGATCTAGATTTATCTACGGTGTAGGATCCTATCCCGACAAAGAATTGAAATGGTAGTCACATGCTATACACGGAGGTGTGTTTCTCCGTGCGTGACCTGGTGGATAATTGAGTAAAAATGTATTTGAATTTTCGGTATATCACACTTTCGAGTTTCGCCGAGGACCTGAGGTTTTCTTCACACACAAATGGAATGTAGAATATGTATTAGATTTAACATTGAGATTAATACTTTTATGTTATTGTAACAATGATATTTTAATTTCATATTCATATTAAAACTTTCTATAACCCTAAAGAATATCACGTTGGTATATAATAGGGGTAAAAGAAAAAAGAAAGTTTCCGAGCAATAATAGTTTTGGGCACATTACGCATTGATGTCTGCAGGAACCAGGATGCGAAGCTAATGAACTATATATATATATATATATATATATTAATTAAATTTTATATATTTGGATTGGATATGTCTAGCAACATGAGTGATAGAACGCTTGAAAGCCAACACAAATGACAGTAACAATGTTTCTATTGACTTGAATGGCATGGCTTCCATATCGCCCGGAATATTGTCATCATCGCCCTGTAGGATTGACGATTTGTGAGAAGATCGCAGATGAAGTATCACCAGAATCTTGGCTTGTCTCATGCTCACATGTATGGCTAAGCTTTCCCACCTCGTTGTCTATCAAGCTCACTTCTTGAAACTCACTTTCCTCCCCTTTTGAAGGGTGACTTGACTCGTTCGTGTTTTCTTGGAGGTTGAGAGCAAGTTCTAGATTCCACAACAGATCATTCATTGAGGGCCGGGCAAGCCTATGATCGCTCAAACACTTCTCTGCCATGGCTACAAACTTACTCAAACTTTTTGGATTGATCTTTCCTTTCAGATATGGGTCAATGATATCCTCCAACGTCCCTTTTCTTTTGCAGCTCAGAGCCCAATCCGCAAGAGACACTTGTTCCTTTGGAAGGTTTGCATTTAAAACTGGCCTTGCACACAAAACCTCAAACAAGACAACCCCAAATGAATACACATCAGACTTCTTGGTCAACTGTTGTCTCCTAAAATATTCAGGGTCCAAATATCCAAAGCTTCCCTTTACCACTATACTGACATGCCCCTTTTTCATGTCCGGACCTGTTTTGAATAACCCAAAATCTGAAACCTTAGCAGTCCAATTTTCATCCAACAAAATGTTAGTTAACTTGACATCTCTATGAACGATAGTGTATTTAGCCCCCGTGTGAAGGTAGTGAAGCCCTCTTGTAGCTCCAATGCAAATCTCCAGCCTTTGCTTCCACGACAAAGTAGAAAGAGATTTGTTGCCCTTGTATAGATGCTCCCTTAGGGTACCACGTGCCATGTAGTCATAAACCAAGCACATCTCATTCTGCTCCTCACAGAACCCAATCAAGGACACCAAACGCCTGTGTCTTAGTTTTGAAAGCATCTTAATTTCAGTCTGGAACTCATTCGCTCCTTGTTCTGATTGTGGATTCGACCTTTTTATGACTACTTTCATCCTGTTGTTGATAACACCCTTGTAAACCTTCCCAAATCCTCCAATCCCAATAACATTAGATTCGTCAAAATTCTTGGTCGCTTGCTTGATCTCTTGTAAGGAGAAATAGCGGCAAAGACCTTGAGCCATGGCTGATAAGTTACTACCAGCATAGCTCTTCCCTGACATTGTGGACCTGCTGCCATTTGTAAGGGAATTCCCATAAATTGGTAGCCATGATGTATGTGAATCTGATCTCGGTGCTCTCTTCTTCTTCTGGTACACAGCAATGTATATTGCAGCTAAGAATGCAACTCCTGCAGCTCCTCCGGCACTTAATAATACCGCTTTTTTGCAATTGCTTTTGGGTGTGTTAAAGGTTTCCAATTGCTGCTCACTCTTCATGAGCATATCTAACGGTCGAGGATTTGGCCCAGCTAAGGTTGTGTCATTGATCTTGAATATTTCTACCCCGTTCAATATCGCGTCATAGTACTCAGGCTTTGTTTCGGGCGATGGATGCAGAGCAATCCATAATTGCTCATTGCTCTTCCCATTTTGTATAATCACCGCATAATCTTTATACATTGGCGCCCCTTTTTGCCCTGTCCATGCCATTACATCTGCTTCGGCCTGTGCAGTTTGATTGTTCATGTAGATATTGAAAACTATCTCGTTCACTCTATAATAATAGTAGTCACAAAAGTGAAACCTTACTAGGTACATGAAATTTGGATCAACTTGGAATGTCCAAGTGAGGTTATATCCTATGTTCACATTCTAATCATTCCCCATTAATCTTGATGTAGAGTAGATACTGGGTGGAGCAATGTAATGCGGTATGGTTTGGTAGTTGATAGTGACATCATTAGCAGCTTCATTAGTGACACCAACTGATGCACTATATAAATAAGGTGTGTCATCGTACCATGTCCTTGTCAGATTAGAATCTTGGAGTGGGGATATATATTGCCTACCAACATTGAGCCTAAACATTGTTTGCAAATTAAAACTTTTTACACCCACAGTTTGGTCAGAAAACCCAACTAACATGGCTGAGTCGAACAAATTTGGCATTTCAATCACCTCAATGCCGTTCACAATGGCAAAAGCTTGATCATACTCGTCTGATGGCTTAAAAGTAACCTGGAAGAAATTAATCAATTATAATTATCAATCTCATATAAAGTCTATCTATATATGTGCATGCTGATATACCAAAAACTCTCATAAATCTTCACACAAATTGATTTTTTAATTGAGGTTAAGAATTTAAAAAATGCAACATTACCGTGAGAGTATCTGAATTCAAATGGGCAAGGGAATACTCTCTGTTAATGTAAGCTTAAGACAGGGCCTGACAAGTAATAGAAGCACTAAAGTTGCTCAAAAGTGTAACGCCATTGGCTGTTGGGGAGAAATATGAATTACTTGGATTATAGGAACCATACACGGAGGGATAAAAGTGGAGGCAGAGCCAATAACGCTTGTCAGGTTGAACTGGGAATTTATATATTGCCTTCGAGGTGAAAACTCGTGCCCACATGTAAGGAATCTTAAACATGACTGAAGGGTCTTAGTACGACGCTTTAAATGTTGTGGAATCACCTCTCGGCAGGTACTTAGTATCGGCCTCCCATTGCCTTCCATCTGCATCCTTGCCGCCACCGTCGGCCAACCCACAGCCCAAGATCAATGGCTCTCCGCTCTTGGCCCATGCTTTGTGGGCTTTCAGGAGACCCAGGATGCACACAAGACACAACAACACACTTTTCTGACTATACATGATGAAAGGTAATTGGAAGGGTTGTTGTTCTTGACGTACACCCAGAAAGAAGAGATTGGTTTCTTGGATGTCTAAGCCATCTTGATCATAAGATGGCTTTTGGGGAACTCCTACCTAGCTTGAGGAACCAAACTAGGCAAGAGCTAGGGATGAACTCGTAGTTTTGATGTTCAAAAATTTGATTGTGGGATTTTTTTTCCCCTCTTGTTGCTCGTACCAAATGTCAAAGAAGGTTGTTGAAAAGCAATGATTGGGAGAGAGCACCGTAATTAATTGAATGTATTTAGTTATCATAAGATTGGAATTTAGTTATCATAAATTTAGGATGGATTTTTCCGGACAACATGTGGACTCATCATTCGTTCAAATAACACACCATCACTTTTCATTTCCCTCCTACAGCAACCAGGAGAGAGAGGCCAAGAAAAAAAGTGTCTCTTCACCTATCACTCTCACTGGGGGCTTCTTCATCAGTTCCCTTCTCAAAAATCGAACTAAAATAAATATTATTTATCAAAATAAAGTGGCGCTAGGTTAGTTTAAAAGTAATTTTTAATTTTTAATTATTTATCAAAAATATTAAAAGAATTTACAAGTTGAAGTTGATGGAAATAAATGTTTTGGAGGCTCTAACTGTGTTACTATTTTTAGAAGTGAGTGTGAATTTGGATGGTTGGGACTTGAAGGAAGCTATGAAATTGAAAAGGAAAATAAAAATAAAAATAAAAAGAGGGATAAATTCAGAGGAGGAGGATATCTTACCCAAATGTAGCAGGCAGGTATCAAAAATTACGCGAAGATGTTAGAAATGAATGGTAGGAGAGGAGCATTGAAGCTGCTGCGAGTGGTATTTATGTAGAGAGCTGTTCAGGCTGGCAATGGGCGAGGCATTGAGGCCTACCCCACTCCTCCGTGTGCTGGAACGACGAGGCAGCTTTGATCGCTGCCTCCAATGAATAAACCAATGGCAAAGGAGGAAATCAGGCACTCGGTGGAGGAACAAATGAAGCAGGTGACACCGCCGACAACTCCGCTGTGGAAGAAGAGGAAGTGGCTATCAAAGCCGTTATCACTAGGCGATACGTCCAGAGAGATTGCATGGGAGAAAAGGCGATCAAGGTCGGAGCGAATCAGGAGGGCGGCAAGGAGTCATGATTTCTACAATCACGTGACGGACGAGGACCTGAGTGAGCTAAGAGGGTGTATAGAATTAGGGTTTGGCTTCAATGAGGAAGACGCCCAAGCATTGTGCACCACATTACCAGCACTTGACCTCTATTTCGCTATTAACCGCCAACTCTCAGCCTCCCCTCGCTCCTCTTCTTCCCCCAGCCCAACCGCAACCAGTGACCCTAATGCCTGGAGGATTTGCAGCCCTGGTATGTATATACTCATCTTGTTGCAACTCGCAAATACCATTCCTCGCTGATCTCATGAATTAAATCACAATCCAATAATACTTAAACACTTAAAGAAAGATATATAAACAACAAAGACATGTTATTACTTGTGTAGAAAGAAATCCAACATGCAGTCATCGTTTTTAACGTCGTGGCTTTATTTCCAAATAATTACAATATTCATCACT